GAATGCAAAAATTCTCTATCAAAATTTGAAATAGAAAGTGTTTCAAATAATTCATCCCGTTGTTTATCAATAATTTTATCCTCTAATCCTTGCTTCTTGATTGTATTATATAATTCTTTATACATTAAAAAGTTTTTTAAATAATCTTCTGCTTCTTCTTGTGATAAATAAATAATTGGAATTTTGATTAAATGCTTTAAAGATTCAAATGTATCATCTGAAGGTGAACCTGAACGGTTGATATAAATTAACACATGTGAATAGGGGGAAGTGTTAGCAATAATGATAATTTGTTTTAATATCGTTAATGTTTTACCTTTATTCTGTTTACCAATTGCTGCAGTGATTGAATTTAAGTAACATTCAGAATATGGAATTTTCATTAATTTTTCCTTAGATAGAGCATTTCTATTATCACTCAATGCTTCATTAATCATATCATCTACGTATGTATTATATACTCCTGCTAATTCTTCATAAGGGGTGGATGAATTTAAATCCATTTAATCAAAAATAAATTTATAATTTTAAACATTTCTATTCATCAATATTTCATCATATGAACTTCTATACTGTGGTGGTGTACCTGTTGGATGATATTTCAAACCTTCATCCGGTGTCCATGTCCAATATGTAGTCCTAGTAAACCAAACCTGAGGAGGATTTGTCACCTTTGAACAGTAAGTGTCATTTTCACCCTGAATGATTGGATAAGCTTTCACTTGTACTGTAACTTGTGAGTTGAAAGTTTCTAATCCATCAAAGAATATACCCGCTCCATCACGTTGAACTGGAATAGTGCATAAGAATGAAGTTTGGTCTTTCCATGTTCTAGCTAATGGCGTGCCATCATCATCATTCAGTGGTCTAGTTAATGAGTCCTCGTATTCTTCTGTGCATTCATTCACTCCATCTAAATCAGAAGCTTGAAGCATACGTGTAAAGAATATGTCACCCATTGTGGTCATCGCTTGATCGGGGAAGTTTCTGGAATCTATAGTGACCTGAAGACCTCGAAGCATTGGATTTTCTAAAACTGTTCTTTGCATTGCATTCTTCGGAAATGTTAACACAACATCTGTAACATTATGAAGAGCGTATGAGAAATCTGAGCTGATACCTTCAGGAGTGATGCAACCTCCATTTAGTGAACGAACGTCAATATGTTGAGCTGGAATCATGAATGGATCTTCCTTACTGAATAAACGTGGTATTGCTTTAACTGATTCTTCAATTAAACTGTATCCTGGTGTAATACATTTATCCTCTAAAACTTCCATCTTTGTGCATGAAATAATAACATTATCAACTGTTGCGTCAGCAGATGTAGCGGCTAAGCTTGTAATTAATTTGGCAGGAAGTCCGATTTGTTGGAATTTGCGATCATATTTATAAACATGATTCATAATCTTTTCATAATTTTCATCAGTTATCTTTTCATAAACGTAATTTTGTAAATCAGCAACTCTTAACGGGTCAACCTGACAAAATACTAAAGTATCCCTGAAAACATAATATTTAAGAATGATTTCACCAAATGATTTAGGATAATCATCGAACGCCTGAAATGCTAACAAATCATTTACCGGAATAATCATATCAAAAGTGACATCAACTTCTTCATTTGCGTTCTTGAAAACTTCTGAAGGGTCAATATATTTACCACATACTGAGTTATCATATTTTTGAACATTATTATATAACGAATGAACAAACTTTTTAACTTTCCTTTCTGATTTTGGTTTATATGTTGCAAATGCGAAAGATTCACGGGCGCAATCCATCTGAAGATAACCAGCATCACCTCTTTCGGTTTCTACTTCTAATTGTTTAAAGCTTTGATTTGATGATTTGTAACCAACGAATAAACGCATGCATTTAAAAGCGGCATCACATGTGAAAGCTTTATTTGAAACTAGAGTTGCTTTAACTTTGCGTTTAATATATGTGTCACCTAATTGATTCACATCATGAGCCGGATTTGTAATTCTTAAATGAGTTTGTTTATCATCAAAATATGGAGCATCAGAGTCATAGCATGAACTTTCAAGTTCTCTATAATATCTTCTACCGTCATTCTTTGCGAATATTTCATTTATCTTTTCGAATGAATGAAACACATTTCCATTAATCGGTTTAGTGTTTGGCACCAAATAGTTAGTCGTCATTTATTAATAAATAAAAAATCAAAATTAAAAGATGAAAATGAATTTTTAATTTTAATGAAATAATCAACTATGGCTGCAGGTATATTTAAGAAACTGTGGGATAAAGTAAAAAGAGGAGCACATAAAGTTTGGGAAACAATGAAGAAAGGAGCAAATTGGATATTTAAGAATAAAGAAGCAATTAGTGACGTTGCTGAATCAATAACGCCAAAAGCCGCCCCAATAAGAGAAATATTAAATAAAGGAGAAAAAGTTTATCAAAGACTTCAACCGATACTAAGATAAAAATAATATTTATTTATTTTTCCACTATCTACCTCCTATTTTATTAAGTATTCCTTCAGCAATTCCACCAACTGCGTTACCTGCTTGTGCTCCCATCGCCGGATTACCTGCTTTAGTGCCTAATACTCCACCTATGATAGTTCCTGCCGTTTTCGCTACTGGTGCCAAAAAGTTTGCAACGGGTTTAATAATATTTTTATGAACCCAACCTGCAGCTTTCTTAATTCCATCCCATAATTTTTTAAAGAATCCTGCCGCCATTTCTGATTTAATATTAATTAAAAAATATATTTCATCACTTATATTCTAATTTTTATTTAATGATAAATGAAACCGATTTTAAAAATAAATGAAACAGAGGAAGAAATAAATGAAAGTGAAAATGTTCAACAAAAAATAAACGTTGTTAAACCAATTACTGAAATAAAAAATTTTTCATCTGTTGAAGAATTTAATGACTATTATGCTAATAATAAAAAATTATTTGAAGAATTGACAACATGTAAATTGAATAAAATGTTTAAAGTTGATGGATTCAAAATTTCAAAAATAAAAGGAGTGGTTAGTTTGAAATCTATTCCTCAATCAAGAATCACCTCATTAATGAAAATAGATGATTTAACAAAAAGAATAGAAGAGATTGAAGAAAGAGTAAATCAGATAATTGATTTCATAAATTCAAATAATCATTAGTTTCTTAAAGTTCAATGTTGATTCTGAGACATAAATTTTTAAAGTTTATTTTTTTATTTTTTATTTCATTATGGTAGTGAATCTTTTACTCATGAAAATAATTATTTCTAATTTCTTTTACTCGTTTATGAGGTCTTTGATTATGACTCCATTGATTCCATTCAGGATTTAAACAATGTTTAATTAATCGCGGAATATCTGACATCATCTATATATAGCTTCTTTTATAAAAGATAAAAAATAAATTATTTTAAAATTAATGTTAATTTTTTAAAATGTGTTTAGTATATAAATATTTTAATGTATCGTCTATATATAGATGCAACAAAAAAAGTCACACAACCCTTCCTATCCTACTACTATAAAATAATATTAATTTACGAAGAATCTTTTCCAATAATTTAATTTTAATTGAATTCTTATTTGAAGATTCATTTTATAAAGCTGTTAAATTTATTTGAATCAATTTTTCTGAAGGTACACTTAAACAATGGTTAACGTTTGCTACTTTGAGTTTTATTGACTTTAAATTTGCTACCAATTAATAAGCTATGCTTAGCATCAAGACACTACTGTTATTAACAAGCATTTAATTAAATAAAAAAAAATATTCAATTTCAATGGAACTGTGTATCACAGTAGACTTTATAGGCATTGGGACTTATAATTTCAGTTCTTCTTTATTGATTTCACAGTTTCCAACTCATTTAGATATTTTGTTTCTTTAAATATCCATTGATCCCTCAACAAAAACATGCGGATATACTAATAAGATTCTTTAATTAGTATTAATGTCTCTTTTTGACAATATTATATTTTTTTTTTGGAAGATGAATTTTTTTTCCATTGGGGAACACATTCATAATGAATCAAAAGGATTAATATTTCAATAATTACAAACAAAATTTCAATTTTCAAATATTTGTTAGAAAATTATTTGACAAATACAAAATCATCTCAATTATTCCAAAACAAAAAAATCAATTGATTCATAATACATTAAAAATGTCGTTTCGAAAAATTATTATTTTTTTTCTCAGAGTTAATAAAGAATTATGAAAATATTCTCGCAACTAGCAGATTAAATAAAATACTTCACCAATAAACTTTGAAAATTGAAATAATTTCAGAGTTATTTTTTAATAAAAAATGATAATATTAAAATCCTATCTGTATTCGAATTTTCCATTATGTCACGGGTGAAACTGTAATTTTGATTTTTTTACTCTCAAAAACATTTGAATGTAAAATTTCCATGGGCGTGATATTTTTAATCAACAACATTCATATATCATATTTAACTTTTGTAAAATTCTGATATTTCTGAGCTTTGAAAATCTTGTTTATTAGCAATTAAATTTTTTTGCACAAAATTATTCTATAATAGATGTTAATAATTTTTCTTTTCAACAATTTTGAAGATTTGAATTATGGTCATCAATTAAATAAAATGATTACTAAATTTGATAGATCTGGCTAAATATCTCCGATATCAATCACTCATTTATATTTCATTTATCAATCCAAATTATTCCACTCCTTTTAACTTCCTTAATTTCTTATTTTTGAAAATTTCAATTAAACTTTTGAAGGGGATTTAATTTTTGAGATCCAATATAAATCTTTCATTTTACACATATATTTTAAATCATTCATATATATTTTATATTCCTTTTTGACAAAATACAAATTTCCTCTAATAAATTAATTTATGGATGGGTTCTTGTTTTATTTTCTATCAATTTTATCGAAAAACTATTCTCTATCTCATTCACAGTGATATCAACACTGAGTAAAATTTCATATCAAAAATTTCAATACTTTTTTGTATAAAACGAAATTCAAATCTAAAATATGCATTCAGAACCTGATAGCGATTTTAATTCCCCCGTTCAAGACCATAATGTCTGCGGCCAGACAAATTCTACTACTGATAAACCAAATAATTTTAAGTCTTCAACTTACGAATTTATTCATTATTGCAACGATCATAAAGATCAAAAATATGATATCAAATCAATTTCCAATAAGATGGGATTCAGGCAACGAAGATTTTTTGAAGTTGTGGCAGTCTTTGAAGCCTTGGGCGTTTGTCCCAAAATCGACCAAGATTCTTTCCTTTGGATTGGATTTGAAAACATTAAACATACAATCGAGAGAATTGCTACAAGTAGAGGTGCTTTCTTACCAGAATTTTCATTGGACAGCATATTTAGCTACAAAGGGTGCATCTCTGTCCAAAAGGTAACAGAGGAATTTATTTTACTATTCATAGCTTTGGAGCTCCGAAAAATCAACTTAATCGAGGCTGCAGCATATCTAGCACGCTCAAATGAAAGAGAAAAAACAATCAAATGTAAATTATATCAAGTTGCAGCGGTTTTAGAGATTGCTAATATTATCAGAAAGACTGATAAGCCTAGTGAATTTGAATTGCTACCTGAATATTTCATTTCTGCTTCTGAAAAGATGAGTCCAAAAACTCCTGATCCTTCCATTCTTTATTCATTATTGAGCAGACCCGAACCATTCTGCCCAGATGTTGGAATCCCTGTCATTAGTTCCAGACTGAATGAATATTATTCAAATAACTTTTAATTGTACTATTGATTTTCATGTAAATTTTTAATGTTTAGTATTGATCTATTATTTTTCAATATATTTATTATCAATTCAAGATATTTCTCAACAATCCTTTAATTATAATGATAAGTTAAAGAGAAAGGGACAGACTAGCCCATTGTCACTTTTTAATTTAGCAAATGAACGCTTATGGAGTGGAGTTTTTGGGCAAATCTGATTTGCTTATAAATGAAATAAAATCAAAAGAAACCATATTGGCATTATATTATGCAAAAATAAATGATATTACTTAGTACTTTTAAAGTTAATTTCAGAAAAAATTTGACACAATGGTATCCGGCACATACAAGTGGTGTATAACCAAAATATAAGTTGGTTTAAACATATATTGCTATATCTCATGATCTTACTTAGTACTTTTAAAGTTAATTTCAGAAAAAATTTGACACAATGGTATCCGGCACATACAAGTGGTGTACAACCAAAATTTCATATCCCTAGTTTTACATTTATGTTTAGTTTTATTTCACCTAATTTTCAAAGATCATAATTGAATTAGATGGCCAAGCTATTCAAAACACGACCAAGCTTATCAAAATAAGACCAATATATTCAAAATTCTTTATTCTTTCAAATCATTTCATTTTAATGCAGATCCAAGATCACGAACTCACATATATCGAGTTGCTTAAGTATGGAGTGCAACAAGAAATCCAAGCAGGTTGTAGTTATTCATATAAAACTAGGAAAGAAAGAAATCAAATCCAATTTAATTGTAAGTTGCCGAATTGTCCATGTCGCTTCCTTGTTGATACACTTCCCGATGACAAGTACCACATACGAAAATGTATTAACACCCACAATCATTCTGCCCCTTTTCCAAACAAATCACAACAAATTACATCATATTTTTATAGATCTTATTTAACAAGATATTTTGAATCAAATCAAGACCGTGTTTACGCACAATTAAGGTGTTTCAAAGATCTTAATATCCCATTTGATAGTGGGATCATTCAGGAAATGTTTCAACAATCTACAGATGCTTTAAAAAAGTTTTCTAAACGCCTTCATGCAATCAATACCCGTTTCTCAGCGGATGATGTTACATCTCTTGCAATTTTTGTCGACATGGTTAAGAGTCATTCTCCGGATGATCTCATCGAGTTTATTCACGAGCCAGATCGTATGATTTTCTATTACGCCCCATTCGAAGCAAATGCTTTTTCACATCAAATACAAACTTATCACATTGATTCCACTTATAAGCTCTTGCGCTCTCGCATACCATTTTATGCCGTCACTGGCAAATTCGCGGAATCAATTGTTTTTCCGTTTTTGTATTTTTTCGTTTGGCCCGACACAAGTGAAAATATACAAGTTTGTCTCACAGCATATTTTGGCTCCATCAATCGTGAACCATCTTATTTTTCAATGGACTGCGCACCTCAAATCACAAATGCTGTTGAAACAGCCATCCCCTTATGCCAGATCATTTGGTGTGGCGTTCATGTGTTGCGCGCTGTCATGAGAAAGGCTGAAAAGTTTCAAGATCGTTCCAACTTCGAAACTTTCTATAACTTAATGAAGTTATTGGTCTTTGGTTCTGAAGAGGAAGAAATTGATCCTGATGAAGTTTACAACAATTTAGAAGAAATTTTAAATGAGGAACCTGCTGCCCGTGAATACTTTGACCGACAGTGGCGCCATCATCTTGACAGGTGGATGCTTCGCTATAGAAATGAAGGAGATGGAACAAACAACATCTCGGAATCACATTTCAAGGTTTTGAAGCACCAGTACTTCCCAGAAAGGCGAAATCTTCGACTCGATGAACTTGTCATCGAGTTATATTCCAGTGTTGTTCCTTCATTCCTGATTAAGTTGCAAATTAAAGGTCTGGATTCAGAGAGAAGTGTTAAAGTTATCAAAAAAGTCACAAGAGATTTCGAAGAAATGACACAATTTAAAAAAGTCGAATGCATCAGTATGCTTGAAGCTGTTCAGAAAGGTCTGAAAAATGATACACTTGATCCCAACATTGTTTACTCAACATTAAAAATATTATTGCAAAGAAAACATTTGATTTAATAAACATTTAATTTATTATAATTAATTTTTTATTACAGTATAGTAAAAAATGCTATAAATAAATTATTATATTTTATTAAAATGTGACTTTTAATAGTAAGTGAATAAAATAAATCAGGAATTGGGAAAGAAATAAGGTTAATTAAAAATAATGAAGATTACAAGTTTAAGGTTAATGAAAAGTGACAATGGGCGAGTTTGTCCCCCACTCGCCTTATAAGGCTGGATAAAAACAGAATTGATCGAAAATACGAACATTATTAAAAATCCTTTAGAAAATTAACTACTGGTATTTATGCCAATATATTTTCCCTTATCGATCATAGAAATTATAAAAAATAAATCGTTTTCCATTTCTTTCACTGAAAAATATACACCATTTAGTTGGATAATCACAATGCTTAGAAAATATAGCTAAATGAAATACAATTGCCACTTATGAATTGAGCCCATTATATTATTTTCTAAACTTTTGTTAATTTTCCCAAGTAAATAAAGATTCTCGCGCTTAATGCTCTCTCATATATCAGTTATAGGAACATGTGCTAAATATCCTCTGTTATAATATGCTTGAAGATTTTTTTACATATTTTCGAAAAACAATCCAATCATGATTACGATACGAACAGTTTGGTCGAAGTAAGCCCCTACATTAATTAATCAAATGTTGAATCTTCAATATATCTTGGTTCGAAAATTTTAGATCAAATAAAAATCAGAAAAAATTGACATTTTTTTTTCAGTCTGAATTCAAAAAACATGGGCAACTCAATCGTTATACCCTCATTCCAAGATTGGTTTATACCCATGTTTAAGAAGATCGGAATTACAGATTATAAGCATCTCGAATCTGGTACTTTCTTTATGGTTTTTCAAGGAAAAATACAAAATTCGAATGTCGTATTAAAAGCGTATGAATATACAGCCGAAATAATATCCCTTGAAGAAGCAAAACGGTCTCTAGACTTCTTTACCAAGCTAGAAGAATATTCACTAAATCTCCCAGGAATTGTGAAATATACAGATTTAAAGTGTGAAGGAACAACGGCATTTTTGATTCGTCCAAAGTTCCAAACATCCTTAGAAGACCTTCTTGTTTTCCAGGAACCTCCTATTACAATGGTCGAAAAGCAATGGATTGCTTATCAAGTTTGTATCATATTACTAAGACTTCATCAAAGTGGTCTCTACCATTCTGATCTAAAGCCCTCCAATATTTTCGTCTCAGATTCTTTCTTTACATATGTTACAGACTTAGCCCCATACAAACCAGAGACAATATCTCCAAATAGAATGAATCTATACTATCACTTCTTCACTACGAGCTCGACATCAGGATATTACTTAGCTCCCGAGCGTTTTACGAACGAACAAAAGAAAATTGATATGAAAGCAGCCGATTTATTCAGTTTAGGCTGCGTTTTATACTTCATTTTCTCTGATGGCAAACATTTATTCGACGTTATGTCTGGATTGAAGTACGGTTGTGGAGAAGATACAATTTCTGATAAATTATCTAAAGTTGCGGACGAAAAAATGCGAAATTTAATCAAGAGCTTAATATCATTAGACATTACCAAGCGATTAGAAGCAGAAAATATGATTCTACAGTCGTTTTCAGAGCAAATGAAAGTTTTATTCGACATGTTTCGTAGCTTTTCACTTAACAACGATTTCGATGCAAATACAGATGCAGAAAAACTTCTCGATGTAGCCAAACTTGGCGATGATGATTACAAAATCATTGTTATCGATTATATGAACGATATAATACAAAGAGACTTATTCACAAGTAACTTTTACGTATTCTTCGATGCATACACTCAAATTGTCAAGCCAATTCCCGACGATTTTAAAGTTATCAGATGTATTCCAACACTTTCTCTTCTAATCGAAAAATACGACTCACCAAGTTTACATTCACGTGTTTTACAAGTTATTTACGAGATGCTTTCTACAATTCATTCAGTTCCACGAGAATTTCGAGGTATATTTGCCAGTTTCTTAAATCCTTTACTAGAAAAAGCCTCTAACAGGAGCGAGCGAACCAGAGATATCATTGCCAGCTTCCTTCCTAAATACGCTTGCGAATTGGAGAGATTAACTCCTATGACTTACGAAAGAATCGCAATTGACTTTTCTTTCATCACTACAACAGACAATATCAATGTATTCACCATATTTACAGAGTCATTGATCGCTCAATCCTCTCACGGAATCAGATTATTAAATACATTCCTTTTTTCATTGCTAAGTATGTTCAATTTCACCGAAGAAAGCTTCAAGATCATCACAATGAAGGTATTCGTCGCTTTCTACGAGAATTCTGCTCCAAATGAGATCAGATTTTTCTCAGAACAGTGCAATGAGTCCATTTTACCTGTTTGCCAAGATTTGCTTTCCAGAAACATCTCCAACGGTCTTCTTATTGCCATCCTAGACCTCCTAGATGTAGCGTTCAGTCGTGGAATGGCCGAAAAAACTTACGGATACGCTTTGTTACCGAAATTCAATGAACTCTCGAGTTCTACAGATACAGAAGTAAGGTACAAGACTCGTAAGTTGATGTACATGTTCCCGCGACCAATAACAGCTACATTATTCACTGATCCAGGCCAATTCATTGACATGTCGTATAAAAACTCTAAAGCAGTCAGAAAAAACATTTACACTTCACCGGGGAATGTTGTTACTTGTCCTATTGTCAAACCGAACTTCTGTCGAGTTTTTAGAAGAGACAACCAGCCAATCAACTTCATCGACGGCATAGGAACAACAGACAATTACGTTGTTTTGCTTGGCGACAACAAAATCATGTATTTGAACACTAAAGACACAAATACTATGGATATTGACTTGAACAGAACGAAACTGTTGAAGAACAAAGCAACAGCAATGGCTGCTCTCGAGAATTCTTTGGTTGTAGGACATGATAATGGTGAAATCTATTTAATTGATCATAAATTGTTCCAAAAAACATTGATAGAAACAGGAAATGCACCTGTAAAATCAATTTTAGCATTGAATGATACGAATTTCATCGCTGGATTCAATGATGGAATGATTTCTCTTATTGATACAAGAGAAAACAATTCTAAGAATACGTTTAGTTTCACAGGAATTAATGATATTTCCGTTTTATCACATGTTTACGGTGTAGAGAATGTTGCAGCAATAGGATTTGGAGAAGGAGTTGTTTCTTTGTTCGATGCAAGAGTTATGAAACCTGTTTGGTTGTCGACTTGTCCTCCTGTCAACCATTTAGTTCATTTGGAAAGTCCTTCAAATGGTTGTTCTTTCTGCGTTGTTTCTGATTCTTCTGCTTACGTAATTACTGAACCAACACACACGAGTTTGTCATCAATTCCTGTGACAAATGTTGTGGCTGCTCCTTACAAAGGTGCTGCAATTGTTTGCAGTAATAATGGTGCTTTGCTGATGCATACTTCTCAATGTTTTGATTTGTATGATAACGGCGTTTATCCTGTTGGAACTCCAAGACACGATTGTCCTTTAACTCCTCACACAGCGAAGTTGACATCAATGTGTGTGCATAAGTCTGCACTGATTACAGGTGATGAAGCTGGTTTCATCAATTTCTGTAAATTGGCAAGAAGAAGACAATCAAGTGGATCTGGAGATCCTGTTACAGAACAAGATGAATAATTTAGTTTTTTTATATTTTATTTGTATGTTTTTTAATTTATAATTGTATGTTTATATATATTATATTTCATTATTAGTATAAAAGGTTTATATTTCATTACTCGCGCAAAAAACTAATCAACTTCTTTTCCCCTTATTTACCTTTTTGCTCCACAGGGATTTGATTGAGTCTTTTCTCCCATAATTTTTTTATGTAAGAATTTTTCTACTGCATTATTAAGTGCAGTCAATCCAATATCTTGAAAAGTTCTTTTTTTTACTTATTAATTCAATTTCACTCTTATATGAAGCATAATAAAGCATTATTTTTCATTGACGGTTTAAATTGAAGTCTGCAAATTGATCGCGTTTAATATGAGTCAAAAGAAAACTTTGTAATATGAGATATAGTTCAATTTTTTGAAGAATGAAAAGCATTAAGTGCATTGCTAACCAATAACATCTCCAAACTGAAAATTGGTAATTGGAAAACAAATCTCTGAATAATTGTGGAGGAAAACTAACAGCAAGTATTCAATTGTCAACAAAAGTATATATTTCTATTCTTATAGCCAAAATCAAAAATTTTATCATTTCTCCGAAATATGATAAGTAAAAACCGCAATATTATTAAGCGAAAATAATCTTCGAAGAATAGATATCCTATATTTATAATAATATCAATATGCTGTAGAATTTTTCAAACTTCGTTACAAAATAAGATTAAAAATGTCGAAAACTCCGCGCAGCAATATTCTGCGTGGAGCTGGTATGGCAAGTTCTTATTACAGCATATCAATAATAAAAGGACAACTTGCGTCTCAGTTTAAAAGTCCACAAGACCCGAAAAAACAAAATTATGCACAATTATCTCCCAGAGTAAGAGTTCAAGTACAAAAAGATCAAAAAATTTACGAATCATGGCTAAATGAATGGGATAGAAATGCAAACTTTAACAGATTTTTGATGTTACAAAAATTTATCCGAAAAGCAAGTGGATTTTCTGTTGCATCACTTGATAGGATGTTTGGAAATTCTACGGACCTTGTATTCTGCCACATATTTTCCTTCTTTAAAGTAAATTGCCTGAGTTACTGCTCAATTGCATTACAGTTAAGAGCGTTACGCGTGTTTTTCGAGGCAGTATCAGGTCAGAAGTTCTGCGAACAGTTTGTAAGCGGTGGTGGCCATACACTCATTGCTGACTTACTCCCATCAAAACTACTAGAACCTGAAGATCAAATTCAAATCATGACAACCTTATCATCAATTTGTGTTTCAGCGGAAATAAGACAGATAATGGTTGATGAAAAGATAATTAACAAAGTTATTGAAGCATTACCAATTACAAATAATGATCAATTTCATAATTTAGCTGTAACTTTCATTTCTTGTACAGGAGATTCAGCTCCGAACCTCTGCGAATCAATACAGAACACTATACTTCCTTATTTCGTTGCTTATTCATCAAATGAACGCGCAATCATGACTTTGGCGAGATCTTATCGAATTTCGATGTTACCTGAGTTATCCGAAATGTTTGATATTAAAAATCATTTATATGAAATAATAGTATTAACACGCTCAAGTAATCATGAAATTCAAAGCGATGGAATTTTAATATTTTCTAATTTGATGGATAACGCTTCATCTCAGAGAAGAGACTTCTTATTACAAGCTCTTAGTGATCTCCTGAGTTATTCAAAGGATGGTGTTAATGAAGAAGATGGAGATTCACTTGAATTACAACAATCTTTTGTTTTAAGGCTTTTTGTTGATATTTTAACTAAGAAACAATCTGCAGCTCCATCATTATGCCAATTAATGACCACTTTACTGCCAAATCTTGTTAGATTACTTGGAAATAAGGGAAATTTCGCAACACAAATGCATTCTGCTCAATGTCTTGTTAAGCTTATGGAATACAATCCAGAGGCAAAGGTTTATCTTACAAATGCAATCCCAGATTCTTGGGTTAATGATATGATTCAAAATTACCGCGAATTTTGTTTGAATATGACTCAAACACAATGTGATACATTATCATCACTAGAGAGATCACAATTCTTGATTAGACAAACTTCTGTGAACTTTGCTGCAATGTTTCCGAAATCCAAAGTTAAAACTCCGCATTCTGCTAGAACAAAGACATCAATTATCAACAGAGACTCTCCACTTACATTTCAACCTAAGATTTTCAATGTTTCGGATATTCTTTAATTTTATTTTGTTTTGTTTTTGTATATTAAATAGAGTTTTTCGTAGATTATAATTATTACAATAGTTCATTCATCAATCACGCTTATATACCTATACTTTATCCGCAATCTAATTTTTATGAGATGTATTTTTGATTTCACAGGGAAGAAAAAGGAATAAAATGGCATTAGGAAGATATTATTTTACTAAATCAACATCAAAAATAATAAAGATACAAAACAAAAGGTGATTCAATGAAAAATAATAGAAACAGCTTTTTTCGCGGTTGAGTCTAAGGTCGCCAAAAAAAGTGCGGAAATTAAAAACCGCAGTTTGAGTACTTTCTGAGAGTCTGTTTGTCAGAAAGTATACATTTGTAAACTTTCTGACACTAAAATTTTTTTGGTCCTTTCAAAGTTTTTGACAATGTCAAAAAGTATACATCGGGGCTCACAATTTTCCTCTCAAACGGCGGTTTTTTAAAAACGCTCAATTTTTCATCGACCTTATATTAAAAAGTGACTTTTTTTAATACGACCTCTCAATTTATTATCACTTTTTCATCTTTTTTTATGTGATTTGTCTATATAATGTGGGATTGCACATATGATCAGAACTCATTCTTGTGATGATCATATTATGCAATGGGCATACTATTAAAGTTATATAAAAATCAATATTAAGCATTTAGCAATATATTAATGTTTACTATAACAATTAAATTAGATATAATTAGGGGAATATATATATAAATGGTAATGACTATAATTGAGTTTTGATCAAGATGCTAATTTGAATTAGAATGAATATATCGAATACACATATTTTTATTATTATATATGCGTTATATTGTGTTATTGATGATTATTGTTTAGTAAATATAGTCAGATATCGGATATTTTGCAAATGAAATTAAATTATTAAATGATTAATAGATAAAAATAGGATTTGATGATAGACGTTAGATATATATTATGATATACATAGAAATACATGTATTTGGATTCATAATGAAGGTAATTAAACATATTATATGTTTTTGATATGAAAAGAAGAGTTAGTAACGTATATAAATTAATATATGGTTACATATTATAGAATTAATATTCAAACTGATAGATAAATGATATTAAGAGTCAAAAATTCAAAGAAATCTTACTTTTTTGTATCATTCAAAATTGAATGTAATAAAATCATATTGAAAATAAATTAAGGATTTTCGCCATATTTTTGATATAATATATTATTGAACTCTTTATTGTATTTTTATTGCTTTCAATTTTGAGACAACTTTTGATAAAAAAAATCTTTTCAAAATTACTAGATATTTATTTTGTTATTCAAATAATGTTCGTTATAAAATTATTTTATAAAAGTTTGAAGGAGATTTCAAAAATTCATTCCTTATTTAATTTAGTGAGACCTTATGTTATTTAAATAAATCAACCGATAAATTTCCTAATAGGTGTCAAAAGAATAATTCACATCCAAGTCAAATTAGGCTATAATGTATGTAGATGAGGACTGTCTTCAAGGCAGTCCTCATCTACCTACATTATATAACCATGTCTCCCATATTTTTATTTGAATGTGAATGTGTAATTCTCAATTCCAGGACTGAATGCATGGTTGCAGCGGGTTACTATATGCTCTTGCATCCATGTAGTCAGATCTGGAAATTGGCTTACTTTTCCTTTCGATGCGAATGTGACTAATACTTTTCCAATTGTGCACATATAAGTGCAGGGTACATCACTTGTACCCTGCATTTATGTGTGAAGAACTGAAAAATGACGTACCTTTCATGAAGAATATCACATAGTTATTTTATTTTGGAAAGGAGTTTAAATTTGTAAGCTTTTGTTCTATTACATTGCAAATGCAACTTCCTTTCATCAATAATTTTATTTTAATAAATTATAAATATCACATTTAACATAAAATTCTCAAATAATACTCACTTTCTCATTTTGATCATAAATATTGATACTTTATAAATACAAAATTTTTGAATTCTTTATTTTTCCTATGAAATTTGTAGTTTTTTGTTTGAATTTCCGAATTTTCAATTTTTTTTGGAAATTTTTATTCAATTTCGGCTTTATTTTATTCTATTCTTTATATATGATAATTTTATTCAAGTTTATTATTTAAAAATTTCAATACATACGATAATTTTTCATTCAATTTTTAAACGAATGTTTTGATGGGATGAGCTTACTGAGCATAAGCTCATCCCATCAAGATATTGCATCAAAACTCTGGCCTTCATCAAGGCCAGAGTTCATAATTCATCACCTCAGTGCCAAGTTCCTCGAAGGTCGTCCTCATTAGGATCGATCCGAGAGGAACTTGGCACTGAATGAAATTCACAAGCTCTGGTCTCAGAAAATGCCAGAGCTTCGCAAGCAATCCTCGGGGCTGGTTTCCTCAAAGACCGCCCTGATTCGGGCGGCCGGAGAGGAATCCAGTCCCGAGAGAGCGTTTATAGGAAGCTCTGGCCTTTTTCTGAGACCAGAGCCTGCAAATACAATCCTCAGGGCCGAGTTTGAGGGAGATCGTCCGCATTTTTGACGATCCCTCTCCTCTCGGCCCTGAAAGACCAATAGACAAAGGTTCTGGCCTCAACAGGAACCAGGGCCTCGCATACAATTCTCAGGGCCGGCTTTCTCAAATGCCGTCCTGATCTAGGGCGGCAGGAGAGAAGTCCGGCCCTGGAAGCAGTAAATTCGAAGCTCTGGTCTCTGCAGAGGCCATGACTGCAAGTACAATCCTCATGGTGTAGTTTCGACCTGATAGTCCCTCATGAGGACGACCAAGTTAAAACTCTGCTGAAAGAAAGGAACATGCATGCTCTGGAGCCTTATGAGGCCAAGTTTCCAATACATCCTAGAGGCCGAGTTTTCTGAGAATTTCCACATCACGGACAATTCTCAGCGGAATCCGGCCCTTGGGATCATTAAATACGAAGCTCTAGCCTTTCTTGATGCCAGAGTCTGCAAGGTTAATCCTCAGGGCTGAGTTTGAGGGAGATCACCATTATCAAGGACGGTCTCCTCTCTCCTCAGCCCTGAAACACCTACGGATACAGGATCTGGCTGTTGCTGAGGCCAAAGCTTCGCTTCCTAATCTCAGGGCCGTTTTTCTCAATTGCCGTCTTGTTCTTGGCGGCAGGAGAGGAATCCAGCCCTGGAATCGATAAATACGAATCTGTGGCCTCATTATAGACCAGGGTCTGCAATTTATTTTATATAATATTTTTTTTATTTATTATTTTTTTTCAATGATTTGTTTTTAAAGATTATTGGTACAGTATCTTTTAATATTTAAGTAAAATAGCAAAATACCCTTTGAAAAACTATTGTCAGACAATATTTTATAATCTCTATATTCATTCATAAAAAAAATACGTCTAGTAATGCTCTGCATAAGTGGACAATAAAGTAATAAGATTGCTCTTTTATATAATAGAATGCAATTGCTCATTTATTAAGGATATATTTGTAATCAATTGTGATCTATTTAAGAAAAATAAGAAAACAGCACCAAATTCATATAGATGCATCTGTATATTCTATATTTTATAGCTGCACTATTACAATTGTTGAAACTAAATCCCAATATTCTCCGCTCATTAATTGATGAAAAAGTGATAAAAATTTGAGAGGTCATATTAAAAAAAAGTCACTTTTTAATATAGACTCTTTCGCGGTTCAAAATGCTAAGATGAAGAACAGTGATGCGGGCTTGACCATTCCCAATATATTTAATAGTAGGACCATCTTTCATAATAGGGTTTGCAAATACAAAGCCTGAGTAATGTTCAGGTTTACTTGTGTGAATTGGATTACTCAGAGTGTATTTTTCTGAAATCGCATTACAACCTTTGTATCCTGATATAAAAGATGATCCTCCTGACCCAGTTCCGACAGTATTTCCAACATGATTACCTGCACCACCTCCATAATATCCCCCACCGCCTCCAGAACCATAAGAAGGACTCATTGAGCCTGCAGCAATTCCAAAAGATCCATTGATAATAGTACTAGAATTCTTAGTGCTTGGCAATCCTGAAATTCCTCCAAAAACATTGCTTGCACCAATTGAATTAGTGAGGGAATCAGAAGATCGTCCATATATATATTGTGATCCAGGAATTCCTTTAATCCCACCACCATGCCCCCCTTGAACAAAACTCGAAAATGTAGTTGACCCTGCACCACCGGCAGAAACCATGATTCTTGACTTCAAGGAATCAGTATCATTCCAATCATCATAAATTATTCTCATATCACTTGCACCACCACCAGATCCCGAATAAGATCTATCAACATATTCTAATGATCCTTTTCCACCTCCATTAAAGGTGGGAAATCCATTGAACTTACCTTGCTGGCCAAGATAGATATAGAAAATATTTTTCTTAGTGAGATGGAGAATTCATGATGTATATGCACCATACCCGCCGTGTTGTGGCGCATTGTCAGTCCATCCACCAGATGCACCCCATAGCTCGATTAGGTATATACCAGGTTTGAATTCTACTCTAAAAGGATGGCATATATTGGTGTCTCTATTACAAGGATATTTGAGCATAACGGCATACTCCTGAAATTCTGCATACTGACTGTTAACAGAGAGGTTTTGCAGAGTAATAAATAGAAATTCATTTGAAATATTCAATTAACCCTATCTCTAAGGAAATAGGAGATTTCTGTTTATGTTACCAATTAGGTTCAATTAGATCAAGGATGTATATTGAATGAATTCTAAAGGAGTTTGAATTTAAATAAGATCAATGCGTACAAATAAGAAATTATGAAAGTTTTCAGATAGCTATTTGATTATGTGTGAAATTATGAGAATGTAAAGAAAAAATATTGAGGATAAAAGAGGAAAAACTCATAATTCCATCAAAAGATTGGAAAATGTTATACTTAATTGCAACAACTATATGCGGATATTTGTTGTTATCCGTAAATTTGAGTAAGTATCCAGATGATCACTAAAATCTAAATGCTTTCGAAAATAATTTGAGGAAACATCCAATTGTAGAACGATAAATCTGGGAATGAGTGTAAAAAAGAAAGATTAATAAAGAGAGTATATTTACGTGGAATCAAATTCAAGATATAAAAACAACGAAATAACTTTATGGAAATATCATTTTACTAAATCAACATCAAAAATAATGAAGATACAAAACAAAAGGTGATTCAATGTATAATAATAGTTACAACTTTTCTCTCGAATAAAGATGTTCTGTAAAACAGTAATGCGGGCTTGACCATTCCCAATATATTTAATAGTAGGACCATCTTTCATAATAGGGTTTGCAAATACAAAGCCTGAGTAATGTTCAGGTTTACCTGTGTGAATTGGATTACTCAGAGTGTATTTTTCTGAAATCGCATTACAACCTTTGTATCCTGATATAAAAGATGATCCTCCTGACCCAGTTCCGACAGTATTTACAGCAGAATTCCCTGCACCTCCTCCATAATAACCCCCTCCACCTCCTGAGCCATATCCCGTCTCGAAAGGATTTGCACCAATCCCAAAGGAGCCATTGATAATGGAACTAGAATTCTTATCGTCTGCCAAGCCTGATATGCCACCTAAAATATTGTTTGCACCAGTTGAATTAGTGAGAGTACCTGAAGAGCTGATATAAACATATTGTGAGCCAGGAAACCCATTGATTCCACCGGCATGACCGCCTTGAATAAATGCAGAAATATAGAATGTTGACCCTGCACCACCCGCAGAAACAATGATTCTTGACTTCAAGGAATTAGTTTCATTATATTCACCTAAAACATATCTCATATCACTTGCGCCGCCACCAGATCCTGAGTAAGATTCTCCATTAACTGTTAGAGTACCTTTTCCACCTCCATTAAAGGTTGGAAGGCCGTTGAATTTACCTTGTTGACCGAGGTAAATATAGAAAGTACTTTTCTTAGTAATGGGTAGGACTCCTGATGTATATGAGCCATATCCACCTTTTTCGGGATTTATATCAGTGAATCCACCAGATGCACCCCATAGTTCGATTAGGTAGATACCTGGTTTGAATTCAATTTTGAATGGATTGCATTTATTTGTGTCTTTACTGCATGGATATTTGAGAAGAACTTCATTATCTTGGAATTCTGCATACTGGCTGCTAACATGTTGATCAAGGAAAGAAATAGATAAAGATTTATTTACAAAATTCAATTAGCGTGAATACTTCGGAAATATGAGATTTTTATATAATATGTCAATTAAATTTTCTATTAAATTTTGTTTTAAAGCGAATCAATTAGATTTATGAAGCATTTATAGGGATTTTCAAGGAGGTATTTGAATTTATGCATGCTCATTATGTAAAAACAAGGAATAATGAATGATCTAATCTGCAAATTTGGTTCATTGCGCCTTATTGAGAATGCAAAAACAAAAATATGAAGCAAAAGTAGGAATAACTCATAGTTTCATCAATACATAACCTGCATAATATTTTCATGCTACTGATGCACATTCTTCGCAAAACAAATTCAATTTTTAAAAATTTCATGAGTCATTTTCATACGTATATTCAAGTTAATGATGTTTACTATATACGATTTTATTGAATTCTTAATTAGAGTGAAGTTTTATTCCATAAATTTAAACCCGTTTCTCTACGTAAAGTCTCCCTATCGTTTTTCTGCCTCAATATTGAGTGAACTCTATCAAAAATTTGAATAAGAGACTTTACAAAGGAAAAGGAGTTTAAATTTTGGTCTTATATACTTAAATTTACACAAATGTATGGACAGAAATAAACACTTAAATGAATTAAACATTAATTATGAATGATGCAAAATAATTAAAATATAATTTCGTTTAATCGTCTTCATAATCAAATACATAACCAGAGAAATCAAACACATCCAAAAGCAAATAGTTAGATCCGTCAGCATTCAAATCTGTTTGAGTCAATCTGAATGAAGTATATTTTTTATCCGTATTTAGTGAATACGTACGAATTTCTCCTGGAGAAAGAGGCGAATTATTAACTTTTGATAACACTTCCTTCTTTCCTTCAATCGTAGTTCCTACAACTTCCCATGATTGCAGAAGGCTTGCTGAATTGGCATTTGCTGGTGCACTTCTAACAATGTATTCTGTTGGCTGAATTGCTTTATCAGAAATAATTTTCCACGATACCCATTGGTTGGATTGCTGATCTGAAAGATGTATACAATTATCTTGATAACTATTTATATCTTCATCTTTTCCTTTACTCGTTGAAGAAACATGCATTTTAACATCTCCTGAATTGAAATAATTCATATAGATGTTTCGATGCTTTTTCTGATAAATACTAATCCTTGAGCGAACAAAAGCATCGCAAAGAGCTTTTGTGAAGTTAATGGAATTGTTTTCTCCTGATGCATTATAGATTTCTTTGAAAGTTTGTGCTGTGCAATGTTCTAAATGAATATATTCAACTAATGAAGCAAATTCTTCTTTTTCTTTTGCGATGGAAATAATTAAACTGGCTAATAAATCTTCTGATTCAATTCTGAGATGTGGATTGCTTAATATCCTTTGCATAATATCAAATCCATGTTTTAAAGCATATTGTTTCATTTCATTAAAATCTATTTCGTAAAAATGAGATGCAACGTTATCAATCCATTCATTCATCTCATCTTCACATTCAAGCTCGAAATAACATTCAAGTATTTTAAGAGAATTTTTGAATTCTGGTTGTAATTTGTTAATGACGTTATTTATGTATAAACTTTTTAGGTCGTCACTTTGTAGTAATATTCCAATATGAAAGATGTCTCTTAGAACAACTTCATCACAATCAAATTCTGACAGTTGGTTTGAAATGATGCTTTTGAAAAGATCGTATGCGTTAGTTGATTCTAAATTGACATTTATCTGAAAGTGATTATATTGTTGATTGTTAATATATTTTGAAAGGAATTTATCTGATAATGCAACTGCATAGGATCTGCTAAGTTGAAAATCTTGATCATTAATAGTTATAGTAGCTTGATCTATTTGTTGATAGTATGCTGATCGCTTTAGTGCTTGATTATTAAACTTGATTTTGACCATTAAAATTTTTTTTCTCCAAATAAAATTACCATATTTTGCCATTTTGTAATATTAAAATTTCTTTTTTTCTATCATGTAAACCTCGATGTCACTTTTGCGGCCTCGCTCCGCTCGGCCGCAAAAGTGACATCGAGGTTTACATGGATGGGTTCTATATATATACAGCTTGACCGGTAGAAAAGCGGATCGATTTTTATCAATAATTGGACATTCTATTTTTAATAAAATAAACATATATTTATATGGGAAATTAGGGAGATCTGAAACTCAAAAATTATTTTTGAATTTTAATATGATGAATGTAATTGTGATAATATGTACATTACAAATAAAATATTAATTCGGAACAACGATGAGATGTGATAAATTTGATTCTCTCAAAAATCGATTTTGGAGTTTTAATATTAATTTGTATCTTATATGCATATAGGATATATAATAATTTTAAAACATCAAAAAGTGACAATTTACGGTTAGAAAAAGTCATCAAAACACTTTTTAATGATTTGATTTAACATATGCATAGACCATCTCTTTGATATTTAACTTCAATTTCCCGAAATGAAAAGGATTTGAACAAAAACGATTATTTTACGATCATTTTTTGTAAATTTTTTTAAATTGAGACTGACATCTCTAAAATCTTCTAAAAAATCCAAATATCAAATAAAATAATATCATTAAAATTCCTCTCAATTTAAAAAATTTTTATAAATTGAGACTTCAATCTCTAAAATCTTCTAAAAAATCCATATATCACAAAAAATCACGATATTATTTTTATTCTTAAGGATACCCTTACGTGTCAGATTTTTTGCGCATACGAAGAAGTCATGCTAGACATGAGCTATAAACCTGAAATTTTAGCAACATATTTAAAACTTTTTAAACTACAATACACTTTAATATTCAAGAACAAAAATATTCTTTTTAGAAATTACATAATTATTTTATGTGAAATCTATATAAAAACATATTTTGCGAGCGTAACTTTTTTCTTTATAAGCACCTTATATGACTGATAAACTGTGAAGGCACATAATTGTTAATTCATAGAGTTGATATGTTTCCAAAATTGAGAGGAAATTTGAAAATTGAATACCCTTTCAATTCAATTTTCAAAAGATATCAGCTCCTTCAATAATTGAAGGACGATTTTGATCATTTGCTCTTAAAACAAGTATGCCATGGAGAAAAAAGTTACGCTCGCAAATCTGAAATATAACTATCATATAAAAAAATTAAATTTCTAATTTTTTACTCTATAGATATTATTGGCCACTTGTGTAATGCATAAAAGTTTATGTCATATGCATATATTTGGAAGTATGGGAGACGAGGGAAATTACTTCTATGAGGCACTAGGATTTTTAAAAATTTCTCTATCAGACTCACCATTCAATTTCTCGAAAATTAAAAAAAATCAATAATAGCTAAAATGTATTATGCATAACAAATTTTAATGTTACACGGTATTTTTTGAACTTCATGACATGAATTTTCTTTATATTATTTTTTTTTTTGGATTTTCTATGATTTATGCGATAGGCTGGAACAACATTGTAAGTGCAATGATATCATTTATAGAGAAATCTAAAACTTCAGCATTCAGAACTCGCAACCACAAAAATATTCATTTGCTAAGTAAGTAAAGTTGATTAAGTTCGACACTTAGCTTTTATACGTAAAACCAAGTGTGTATTGTTATTTCTTGTTAAATTATTGAGAAAAAAATAAATTGTAAGAGAAACGATACTGATTATTGAAATAATATTGAGGGTAGCTGCAGATTTCTTCATTAACATGCCGGAAATTTGTTAATCTTGGTTTTCTATCATAAAATCTGTCGAAGAATCTAAAAACGGAGATATGAAATAGAGATCATGTAAATCTAGAGTATCCTGTCAGAAAAATAGACTAAGCATGTAACCATTTTTTGGTCATAAACACTTTTTACCACTTAGTCATACAGATGATCATTAAATTTAAACGAGCACTTTTTGTCAGAATTTATTCTTTTACAAAGACAGAAGATTTTAGTATTATTTAATATTAGTGCTGTAGCAAAATTCAAAAAACGGCGAAAATTCAGTGAATTTGTGAATTCACATTTTTTTCGACATTTTTCTTGATATATCCATGCACATTAAGAACACAGCTTTGATACGCTTAAAAAAGCATATTTCATATGAAATTGTTAAAGAAATAAACAATTTATATAAAAATTGCACTTATGGGCAGTTTAGATATATAATTTATATATAACATATATACAAATCCATAGACAAAGTGCAATAACTACAATGTTGTAGAAAATTACAGCAGAAATACTGACTTTTTGAAGGATAATAAGAATTCTTCTAAATGTTGTATTTTTATAATTTGATTGATTTTTTTTACTATTTCATTAATCTTTTATGAATAATAATTATTTTAAAAAAAAAAAAAAAAAAAAAAAGGTATTGGGGCTTCCAGGCACTTCGTGCCCTCTAGCCCCGAAGATGTTTAGTATAAAACCGCTTTTTAACTTCACTTAAAATGCCACGTAAGCTACGTAAGAATATACGTAAGAGGAAGAGAGCATTGAAACATCCAATAGTAAGACTGACACCACAACAACAGTTGCAACAACAAATGCTGAATGACCCCACTATGTTGCAACAAATGTCAAGCAATCCTATGCTTTTAAACCGAGTTCTTGGTGCACAGAGTGGAGGTTTAAGAGCGGCACTTTTAGCGAAAATGGCAGGCTATGGTGGAGCTGCAGACGGAACAGCATATAACCCTCAAAGTCAAATGAATTTGAGTTCACTCAAAAATCAAATAGCAGATGTCAAAAAGTCAAACATAGACATACAGAAGCAAATAGGTGAAAACGAAAAGAAACTAGAATATGACAGACACACAAAGAAACTCAATGAGTTAAACGTAGAGAAAAAGAAGAAAGAAGAACAACTGAAAGAACTAAGTACAGAGCAATATGCGAAAAAAGTGTCAGAAAAAGCAGCAGAAGTAGCAAAAATGGAACAAGATGTCATAAATTTGAAAAACCATACTACTCGATATAAAGTACTGAAAGATGAAGAAATAAAACAAAAAGCCCTGAAGACATATATGGATAGCGATGAGTATAAAAAAGAAGTTGAAGCAAATGTAAAGGCAGAAAAACTTTTACAGTTGCAAAACCAAACCGTACAGTATGAAAACTTAGCACAAGAAAGTAAAAATAACGACGCAGCCATGCAAAAGGCAATGAAAAGCGCAGAATATATAAAAGCTAACAATGACTGGTTAGATGCCCAAGCCAACGCTAAAGCAGCCCAGCTTATAGGGTCAATAAGGACAAAAATACAAGCGGATGAAGACAGTTCAAATGAAGCTTTAACGAATGCTGACTTTAAGAACGCCTTCGAAGCTCTTCATAGTAAGGTGAAACAAGTGAACGACTTCTCATCTGGAAAGAAACTGAAGTCTGAAGGTTTCGACAAAGAGTTAAAAGAAGTAGCACAAAATATGACGAAAATAACAGATGCAGCAACGAGACAGGCAGTTCAAAGTGCCTATGACGCCGTTAGAGCAACTGTTGTGAAAAGTCAAGAAAAAGAGTTACAACAGACCAAAACAGACCTAGTAAATGCTTTCTTAAAAACGAAAAGTCAGGTAGGACATTACGCTGCAGATGGAACATATGTGCCAGCTGGTGGAACTTATATACCACCAAACCCTCCAAGAGAAGCACCTGCACCAGGACTACCTAAAACATTTACATCGTCACATGGACACAGACACAGGCATGCACCAAAACCAACACAACAACCAACACAACAACCAACAGTTCAAAACCCTGCACAACAACCACCTCCACAACCAGCACCAAAACCAACACAACAACCAACACAACAACCAACAGTTCAAAACCCTGCACAACAACCACCTCCACAACCAGCACAGCAACCAACAGTTCAAAACCCTGCACAACAACAACCAGCACAAACAGAGCAAGGACATAAAAGAAGTAGAGAACAAGGAAACCAAGAAATCTTAAAAATGCTTAAGGAAAATTTTGGTTACCCAGATAGTATTGACTTTAGTGACAGATATAAAGAAGCTATTAGAAAGTTCAAGGATGGAAATACTGACCCGAACCTATTTAGCTTTATGGTTCAGCATAAAATCGGATATAATTTCAAACCTGGAAAATACAAGCTCGCTAAGGGATATGATTTAATAGCATATCATCCAAATGACATGGATGAATTTACTCCGAGATATTTGATGTCAGAGCTAAATGACAATTCAACTCCCGTCATGAAACGCGTAAAAAATAGAGACGGAACGAAAGAAGAAAGGTTTATGAGTCCGGATGACTTAGAAAGGGAAGTTGTTAAAAACGGTCTCGGAATATATGAAATGCCAGCAGATGAGGTACAAGAAACTCCACAGGAAGAACTAGTTCAGATACAACCAGACATGGAAGAAATAGTTCAGCAACAACAGCTAGAAGAGCCTGAAGGAAACGAACAAGTCCCTCCTTTGGAAACTAACTTCACAGAACTAGATGAAGATTTGGAACAGCCGAAAAATCTTGACCCTCAACAAGAGTATGCGGAGAATATGGAATATTTCCAAGAGTCTAAAAAAAATTCGGCTGACATAGTAGAAGAATATCGAAAAATGTTCGCCGACATACAAAAGACTCCAACACCAGATGAAAATATTCAGCATAGAATGGAAGTACTGAAAGAAAATGTACACAAATACAACAACCCTTTTTACTTACGAGCATTTAACGTTCAATCTTCGGATGAACTCGGTGAAAATAAAAGGTTAAATTTCAAGAAAACATATAGAAATGAAACATTGTTTAAAGTTCATTCAGAACCTAACCAAGATGGAAACAAACCTACTTTTGTTTCTGCAGACGATGGGACTACAATGAGATGGGGTCATAAAGCTAACCCGGATAGGTGGTTCATAAACTTACAACCACAATTCCAAGA